TCGTTCCATTCATTGTTCTCCCAGAGGATATATACATTGAGAAGTGCATTTCTCTCAGTATATTTTGCTAAGAGTTTAATCACTGGTTTGGAAATTACAATATTCTTGAATGACAATTATTGAAGGTTATGACTGAGGGTAGATCTGTCATATGTCAGACACTACAACTTAGCTAAACATTGATGTAATTTGTATCATCAGGGAAAAGTTTTAATAATATTTTCAACAACACTTGTGTCCCACATCTATCACTAATATAATACAATTCTTTATTTCATAGTCACTGTGTTTGCATAACATACAGTAATCTATAGGCCCACAGTATGTGTATGTTGAATATTGATGAAGGAATTCAGGGAAACTAGTTAGCTAGACTTAAGTTCTGGAGGTGGGAAGTACAGTGCCTTCACTCTGAAGGATGGGTGAGGATGTTGTGGTTCTGGAGGTGGGAAATACAGTGCCTTCACTCTGAAGGATGGGTGAGGATGTTGTGGTTCTGGAGGTGGGAAGTACAGTGCCTTCACTCTGAAGGATGGGTGAGGATGTTGTGGTTCTGGAGGTGGGAAGTACAGTGCCTTCACTCTGAAGGATGGGTGAGGATGTTGTGGTTCTGGAGGTGGGAAGTACAGTGCCTTCACTCTGAAGGATGGGTGAGGATGTTGTGGTTCTGGAGGTGGGAAGTACAGTGCCTTCACTCTGAAGGATGGGTGAGGATGTTGTGGTTCTGGAGGTGGGAAGTACAGTGCCTTCACTCTGAAGGATGGGTGAGGATGTTGTGGTTCTGGAGGTGGGAAGTACAGTGCCTTCACTCTGAAGGATGGGTGAGGATGTTGTGGTTCTGGAGGTGGGAAGTACAGTGCCTTCACTCTGAAGGATGGGTGAGGATGTTGTGGTTCTGGAGGTGGGAAGTACAGTGCCTTCACTCTGAAGGATGGGTGAGGATGTTGTGGTTCTGGAAGTGGGAAGTACAGTGCCTTCACTCTGAAGAATGGGTGAGGATGTTGTGATTCTGGAGGTGGGAAGTACAGTGCCTTTACTCTGAAGGATGGGTGAGGATGTTGTGGTTCTGGAAGTGGGAAGTACAGTGCCTTCACTCTGAAGAATGGGTGAGGATGTTGTGGTTCTGGAGGTGGGAAGTACAGTGCCTTTACTCTGAAGGATGGGTGAGGATGTTGTGGTTCTGGAGGTGGGAAGTACAGTGCTTTCACTCTGAAGGATGGGTGAGGATCTTGCAGTTCTGGAGGTGGGAAGTACAGTACTTGCACTCTGAAGGATGGGTGAGGATGTTGTGGTTCTGGAGGTGGGAAGTACAGTGCCTTCACTCTGAAGGATGGGTGAGAATGTTGTGGTTCTGGAAGTGGGAAGTACAGTGCCTTCACTCTGAAGGATGGGTGAGAATGTTGTGGTTCTGGAAGTGGGAAGTACAGTGCCTTCACTCTGAAGGATGGGTGAGGATGTTGTGGTTCTGGAAGTGGGAAGTACAGTGCCTTCACTCTGAAGGATGGGTGAGGATGTTGTGGTTCTGGAAGTGGAAAATACAGTGCCTTCACTCTGAAGGATGGGTGAGAATGTTGTGGTTCTGGAAGTGGGAAGTACAGTGCCTTCACTCTGAAGGATGGGTGAGGATGTTGTGGTTCTGGAGGTGGGAAGTACAGTGCCTTCACTCTGAAGGATGAGTGAGGATGTTGTGGTTCTGGAAGTGGGAAGTACAGTGCCTTCACTCTGAAGGATGGGTGAGGATGTTGTGGTTCTGGAAGTGGGAAGTACAGTGCCTTCACTCTGAAGGATGGGTGAGGATGTTGTGGTTCTGGAAGTGGGAAGTACAGTGCCTTCACTCTGAAGGATGGGTGAGAATGTTGTGGTTCTGGAAGTGGGAAGTACAGTGCCTTCACTCTGAAGGATGGGTGAGGATGTTGTGGTTCTGGAAGTGGGAAGTACAGTGCCTTCACTCTGAAGGATGGGTGAGAATGTTGTGGTTCTGGAAGTGGGAAGTACAGTGCTTTCACTCTGAAGGATGGGTGAGGATGTTGTGGTTCTGGGAGTGGGAAGTACAGTGCCTTCACTCTGAAGGATGGGTGAGGATGTTGTGGTTCTGGAGGTGGGAAGTACAGTGCCTTCACTCTGAAGGATGGGTGAGGATGTTGCAGTTCTGGAGGTGGGAAGTACAGTGCCTTCACTCTGAAGGATGGGTGAGGATGTTGTGGTTCTGGAGGTGGGAAGTACAGTGCCTTCACTCTGAAGGATGGGTGAGGATGTTGTGGTTCTGGAAGTGGGAAGTACAGTGCCTTCACTCTGAAGGATGGGTGAGGATGTTGTGGTTCTGGAGGTGGGAAGTACAGTACTTGCACTCTGAAGGATGGGTGAGAATGGTGTACTACAGAGGACCATCTGAATGGTGATGCCAGAACACCTCTGGTAACACAGTGATTGAATGAGTGATGGTGAATGTACTTCCTCTTTCTTGGGTCACCCTACCTCAGTGGAAGATAACCAGTGCATGAAAAAAAGAGTAAGACATACTTGATATTCATGTTTACTCTCTCCCACATTCTTCTTCTTTCAACGTACCAGCCGTATCCCACTGAGGTGGGGTGGCCCAAAAGGAAAAACGAAAGTTTCTCCTTTTAAATTTAGTAATATATACAGGAGAAGGGGTTACTAGCCCATTTTTCCCAGCATTTTAGTTGTCTCTTACAACACACATGGCTTACGGAGGAAGAATTCTGTTCCACTTCCCCATGGAGATAAGAGGAAATAAACAAGAACAAGAACTAGAAAGAAAATAGAAGAAAACCCAGAGGGGTGTGTATATATATGCTTGTACATGTATGTGTAGTGTGACCTAAGTGCAAGTAGAAGTAGCAAGACGTACCTGAAATCTTGCATGTTTAACCCTTTCAGGGGTCCAGAGGCCAAATTTCAAAGCGTGCACCAGTGTCCAAGAATTTTCAAAAAAAATTTTTTGTTATTTTTGCTTATGAAATGGTAGAGAATCTTTTTCTGAAGGTAATAAAACAAAAAGTGTGAAATTTGATGGAAAATTGACGAAATTATGCTCTCGTGAATTTTGATGTTTCAGCGATATTTACGAATCGGAGATTTTGCTGACTTTGACTCCCATTTTAGGCCAATTACATTATTCCAGTCGACCAAATTCTTAGCTATTTCACTAGTATTACTTCTATTCTATCAACTGAGCACAAGAAATCGCCCAGTCAACTGTTTCAACTACAAAATAAAGTGGTGGGCAGGTAGGACACATAGGCAACAGTTAGACAACTTTATTCCGAAACGTTTCGCCTACACAGTAGGCTTCTTCAGTCGAATACAGAAAATAGGCAGGAACAGTAGAGATGTGAAAACGATGTAATCAGTCCATCACCCTTGAAGTTGTAGATTTGAGGTTGTCAGTCCCTCAGCCTGGAGAAGTTCAGTTCCATAGTCTAGAACTATCTGAAGATCAAGGGACAGTGCGGAGACTTAACCCTTTGGGGGTTTTGGTGGTACTAGTACGTCTTACGCGTAGGGGTTTTTGACGTACTAGTACTCATAAATTCTAGCGGCCTCAAATCTAGTGGGAGAAAGCTGGTAGGCCTTCATATGAAAGAATGGGTCTATGTGGTCTGTGTGCACAGTCTAAAAAAAATCCTGCAGCACACAGTGCATAATGAGAAAAAAAAAACTTTGACCATTTTTTTTTTAATAAATCAGCGACTTTGCAGTGTATTTTCGTATGGTATTTATTGTTGTATTCTAGTTTTCTTGGTCTCATTTCATAGAATGGAAGACATATTACAGAAATTGAGATGATTTTGACTGGTTTTACAATGAAAGGTGCCTTGAAATTGAGCTCAAAGTAGCAGAAATGTTCGATTTTTACCAAACTTCAAAAGTAAACAAATCGTGCCAAGCGTGCAATACACGTCAACTGGTGAGTCTAATATTCTTTCACAAGTGCACCAATAATATTTATACCATTTTTTACACTAATGCAGTAGTCTGCATAACAGTAAATCTTATATTTTTTGTGAAAATAAAAATTCAAAGTGGAAAGCAAAAGAATATAAGAGGGGCCTTGAGACGTGACTAATGACTAGAGGAAATGTCATTTTAGTGCCAGGAATGTCTTTCTTGTTTATTCTGGACCCTATTCGGAAATTGGCATCTTTTGAAATTTGTGTGAAATTGGCAAAATTGCTAAATTCTGACCACTGTACTGGATAGTTGAATTTCATAAATGGGTGGTTTCTTGCACCCATTCGATAGAAAAAATGGAGTTCTAGCGAAATATTCATGTTTTTTGTCGACTAGTACAGTGAAATTGGCCGAAAATGGGGCTCAAAGTGGGCAAAATCGCTGATTCGTAAACATCGCCGAGACCGCAAACTTTGCGAGAGCATAATTCCGTAAGTTTTCTATCAAATTTCAAACTTTTGGCGCTGTATAGTCCTTGTGGCTTAGCGCTTCTTTTTGATTATAATAATAATAATAATCAAACTTTTGGTGTCTTTATGATCGGGAAAAGATTCTCTATCTTTTCATAAGAGAAAATAATTTTTTTTTTTTTTTTAAATTTGGCCGACCCTGAGAACGAGTTTCGGAGAGGGCCTGTCGACCCTCAAAGGGTTAAATACTGTCGGAAGGAGAGGTGCAGAGTGGTAGCAGTGAGAATGCAGCCACTGAGAGGCCACGTCCCTCTCAGATCAAACAATTCTCACTTGAAAAAGTTGTTCAAGGTGTTTTCTGTACCAAGATGCCATTGTGTTGCAGTGTCTGACAGGGTGAATATCAAAATGGTATACAATACCGACAGGTTGGTAGGTAAGACACATAGGCAACAGTTAGACAACTTTATTCCGAAACGTTTCCCCTACACAGTAGGCTTCTTCAGTCGAATACAGAAAATAGGCAGGAACAGTAGAGATGTGAAAACGATGTAATCAGTCCATCACCCTTCGTTTTACACTCTCCCACATTAATAATATATATTTCACTTACAGGTTTTAATCAAGGAAAAGAGCACTGACACCTTGGTAGATGATGTTGCACCTTTTTTGAAATTAATTACTGCCAAGTATGGACTTAGACAACCCAAGAAAGAAGGAAAATGGGTAACTATCTTCAGAATGATTATCTGCAAACAGTACATGTTGTCCTACAGAACAGAGTATTGTTTTTCCTGCATGTGAGATGCACTTTTGAATTAGATGCACCCTCAGTCAATGTGTTTTGTTGTAGTGTTTTGTATTGTGTTGTAGTGTATTGCAGTATGTTGTAGTGTGGTATTATGTTGTAGTGTGTTGTAATGTGTTGTAGTGTTAAAATGTGTTGTAGTGTGTTGCAGTATGTTGTAGTGTGTAGTATTATGTTGTAGTGTGTTGTAGTGTGTTGTAATGTGTTGTAGTGTTGTAATGTGTTGTAGTGTGTTGTAATGTGTTGTGGTGTGTTATGGTGTGTTGTAATGTGTGGTATTATGTTGTAGTGTGTTGTAATGTGTTGTAATGTTAAAATGTGTTGTAGTGTGTTGCAGTATGTTGTAGTGTGTAGTATTATGTTGTAGTGTGTTGTAGTGTTAAAATGTGTTGTAGTGTGTTGCAGTATGTTGTAGTGTGTAGTATTATGTTGTAGTGTGTTGTAGTGTGTTGTAATGTGTTGTAGTGTTGTAATGTGTTGTAGTGTGTTGTAATGTGTTGTGGTGTGTTATGGTGTGTTGTAATGTGTGGTATTATGTTGTAGTGTGTTGTAATGTGTTGTAGCATTATAATGTGTTGTAGTGTGTTGCAGTATGTTGTAGTGTGTAGTATTATGTTGTAGTGTGTTGTAGTGTGTTGTAATGTGTTGTAGTGTTGTAATGTGTTGTAGTGTGTTGTGGTGTGTTATAGCATGTTGCAGTGTGTTGTATTCTGTGGTATTAAGTTATAGTGTGTTGTGGTGTGTTATAGTGTGCTGCAGTGTGTTCTATTGTGTGGTATTATGTTATAGTGTGTTGTATTGTGTTGTAGTGTGTTGTGGTGTGTTATAGTATGTTGCAGTGTGTTGTATTGTGTGGTATTATGTTATAGTGTGTTGTAGTGTATTGTAGTGTGTTGTGGTGTGTTGTAATGTGTTGTGGTGTGTTGTAATGTGTTGTGGTGTGTTGTAATGTGTTGTAGTGTGTTGTAGTGCATTGCAGTATGTTATAATATTTGGTATTATGTTGTAGCGTGTTGTGGTGTGTTATAGTGTGTTGCAGTGTGTTGTATTGTGTGGTATTATGTTATAGTGTGTTGTATTGTGTTGTAGTGTGTTGTGGTGTGTTATAGTATGTTGCAGTGTGTTGTATTGTGTGGTATTATGTTATAGTGTGTTGTAGTGTATTGTAGTGTGTTGTGGTGTGTTGTAGTGTGTTGTGGTGTGTTGTAATGTGTTGTGGTGTGTTGTAATGTGTTGTGGTGTGTTGTAATATGTTGTAGTATGTTCTGGTGTGTTGTAATATATTGTAGTGTGTTGTAATGTGTTGTTGTGTGTTGTGGTATGTTGTAATGCATTGTAGTGTGTTGTAGTGCATTGTAGTATGTTATAATATTTGGTATTATGTTGCAGTGTGTTGTAGTATGTTGTAATGTGTGGTATTATTATGTTGTAGTGTCTTGGGGTATGTTGTAGTGAGCTGTGGTGTGTTATAATGTGTTGGGGCTTGTTGTAGAGTGTTGTGTGGTATTATGTTGTAGTGTCTTGTGGTGTGTTGTAGTGTGTTTTATAGTGTTGCAGTGTGTTGTAGAGTGTTGTAGAGTATTGTAGAGTGTTGTAGTGCATTGTAGAGTATTGCAGAGTGATGTAGTGCATTGAAGAGTTTTGCAATATGTAGTAGTATGTTATAGTATGTTGTATAATGTTGTGGAGTATCATATCCCTGTGATCCCCATTGGGGAGGGGAACTTTTACTTTTGCACTCAACGTCATCTTCCACGATGCATTTCTCAAACCGTGTGAAGATCAAACCAAGAAGTTGGACAGTAAATGACTTGCCCAAACTACCACTTACAACTGCTGTTAGCAGCAAATTGCAGGTTAAATATAATGCAATTCTATCGCTCCAAGAGGGTTTCGTTGTAGTCTGCTCTGACAACATTGAAGCCGAGAAACTTATCACCACAGACACTAAACCACTCTTGACGAACAAGGATTTCAAGTCATGACTTCCCCAGCTTTGAGGGTCAAGAGAACTGTGTTTCTTAAATGACTGGACAAACACATCACAACCCAGGCTATTGAAGAAATCAAGTCATCAATAGAAGACCAGAATCCTTGGGCCATGGTGGAACACATTACCAAAATTCCTGATGCTTCTTCGCTGATGTCAACGTGGCAACCCAAGTTCTTGCAGAGGGACTGGCAATCCACTACTTCCTTATCAACCCAAGTTACATTGAAGCCAAGAGATTCCAACACATCACACAGTGTTAAAGCTGTTACTGTTATCTTCATACCACCAAGGATTGTCCTACCAAGGATAAGAAGTTCTGCTCAACCTGTGGCAACAAAGGATATGATTTCAAGGCTTGCACCACCTCCACTCCACCTAAATGCCTGAACTGCAAAAATATGCACCACACCTTCTCTGCTAAATGCCCAACAAGATGAGAAGTTCTCAAGAAACAACTAGAACAACAAAAGAAAACAACTGCTAAATCTCCAACATATGCTGCAATTACAAAACTGTAAGCAGACGCCACCAAAATTCTCAAGGCCACTCAAACTGCATCCTCCATCCTTACCACCAATACCTCCTGACAAATCCACAAAAATCCTCTACTGCATGATGTATGCCCATATGCACAATGTAGCTATACCTGGATCATTCAACTCCACTATCAATAAACTCTTCAAGATAAACAACATGCCCAGGTTTACATTTCTGGAATCTCCACCTTCTACAGACATAATCAAGACCACCTCAATTATTGTCAATACCTATCTCCACACCAGAAAGCTCTACTCCAACAGCTCCACCGCCACCATCATCTACATGTGTTGAGACACCGCAAAATCCCACCAATGAGAGGCCACCATCGACTTCTTCCACCACCACTGAAATGGACCAATCAGTGACCTCACCCCATCCACCCCAACCATCAGCCAAGAGAGCTAAAACACTACCACCTGTTGAAGAAATCCCCACTTCCTCAGTACACACTGACACTCTTTCAAATGTTACCACTGTCAGCCCTCTTGTGGCTTCCCCTGCCCTTGATCGTCAGCCTGAACTCACAGCTTGGCCTGGAGTCAGGTTCTACACAACTGACCAATACAGTGATGAAATGATTTCTCAAGAAATCTATAGTTGCCTCCTGGATGGGATTGTTAAGTTTACCTCCAAAACAGTTCCATCCACTAGTAAGCTTCCTATCTTCCAATCACCATGAAGCTGAATTCCCCAGTGCTCTGGCTGCTGCCTAAAGCTGGAGTGTGGCTCCAATGGACCCTTTACTGGTCACTTTCTCAGCCCTTTCTGACATTGCCTGCTGCTATGCAGCTTCATCAGCCTTCTTCACATTGCCAGCTTCCATGCAGCTGGCATGCCCTTCAAGACACTTCTATGACTGGGAGCTAAGGCTGGGTCACAATCTGGAAAAGACCTGGGCTGGCAAATATACTGGCGAATCTACAGCTGGAACTGTTATGGAGTGTTGTATTGTAGAATATTGTAGTGTGTTGCAGAGAGACGTAGTGCATTGTAGAATTTTGTAATGCCGTGGAACCTTGGTAATCAAACTTAATACATTCCAGAAGGCTATTCGAGTGCCAGTCCGAATATTGAACGAATTTTTCCTAACTAATTTTCTTTTTGGTTGGCTGTTATCACTAATCTTCATAGGCCCCATGGTGACTTATTTATACAAATAATATAAAAAAACACCAAAAAATGCAAAGAAATACGAAATCGTTAACAGTGAAGTTCTGGCAGGTCACGTTTGTTCGGTGGAGTGCTGAGCTTTGTTTGTGTAGGGAGCTGTGTGAGTACTGAGGTTCTACTGTATATGGTAGTATGTTGTATAGTGTTGTGGAGAGTTTTGTGGTAATAAGTTGTGGAGTGTTGTAGAGTATTGTAGAGTGTTATAGTGTATTGTAGAGTGTTCTACTGTATTATAGACTATTCTGCAATATTGTTGAGTGTTATGCATTGTAGAGTGTTGTAGTGTGTTGTATTGTGTTGTAGTGTGTGGTATCAGCCACTTCCTCAGTAATGTAGTACTTTATATATATTTATTAGTGTCATGTTAGTGATCTATATCTCATTGTCATACAACATGTACAGTGTTCCTGAAATAGTTTAGTCTTACCCATAAAACTGTGTATGTAAGGGCACCCACAGTCTGAATATTCTACCTTGGTAAATTCAACAGTGTTCACCAAAATCTGCATCCAAAATGGAATAGCATGTACCATGAAAGCCTTTTCACATGATTTTCAATTTTGAATGCACCTTTGCAATTTTTTTTAAAACATCAGCTGTTTCCCACCAAGGCAAGGCGACCCAAAAAGAAAGAAAAACCCAAAATGAAAAAAAAACTTTCATCATTCAACACTTTCTCCATCATTCATACATAATCACTGTCTTTGCAGAGGTGCCCAGATATGACAGTTTAAATGTCACTCCAAACAGTAAATATCTCAAACCTCTCAATTATTGTGCTTCCCACCTCCAGGACTCAAGTCTGGCTAACTGGTTTCCCTGAATTCCTTCACAAAATATTACCCTGCTCACAATCCAACAGCTCATCAGGTCCCAAAAGCCATTCATCTCCATTCACTCCTATCTAACATGCTCACACATGCCTACTACATGTCCAGGCCCATGCATACAAAACCTCTTTTACCCCATCCCTCCATCCTTTCTTAGGATGACCCTTACCCCTCCTCCCCTCCACTACAGATTTATATGCCCTCCAAGTCATTCTATTTTGCTCCATTCTCTCTAAATGACCAAACCACCTCAACAACCCCTCTTCAGCCCTCTGAATAATACTTTTGTAACTCCACACCTCCACCTAATTTCCGCACTGCTAACTTTCAGCATAATATTTACACCATACGTTGCCCTTAAACACGACATCTCCACTGCCTCCAACCTCCTCCTCACTGCAGCATTTACAACTCATGCTTCACACCCATATAAGAGTGTTTGCACCACTATTCCCTCGTACATTCCCTTCTTTGCTTCCATGGATAACTTTTTTGTCACCACAGACACCTCAGTGCACCACTCACCTTGTTTCCTTCATCAATTCTATGGTTAACCTTATCTTTCATAAACCCATCTGCTGACAAATCTACTCCCAAATACCTGAACACATTCACTTCTTCCATACTCCCTCCCTCCAATGTGATACCCAGTTTTTCATTACCTAACTCATTTGATACCCTCATCACTTTACTCTTATCTATGTTCACTTTCATCTTTACACACCCTCCCAAACTCATCCACTAACCTTTGCAACTTTTCTTTAGAATCTCCCAAAAGCACAGTATCTTCAGCAAAAAGTAACTGTGTCAACTCCTATTTTGTATTTCCCATAATTTAATCCCACCCCTCTCCACAACACCCTAGCATTTACTTCTTTTACAACCCCATCTATAAATATGTTAAACAACCATGGTGACATTACACATCGCTGTCTAAGACCTACTTTTACCGGGAAGTATTCTCCCTCTCTCCTACACACACTAACCTGAGCCTCACTATCCTCATAAAAACTCTTTACAGCATTACACACTTACTCACCTATGTACTCCCACATCATAACTGAAACAATCACATTGAACCTTTTATCCATTGCTGACAGGAATATAATTGAATCATTGTTTTCACAAAAAGCATTTTCGAATATAAATATATCTTTGTATTATGCAAATTTTGATTCATTTATAATTAATAATCTACTGTACAACTATGAAATAATTACTATCCTACTGTACAACTATGATATACTCCTTAGTGTTAAGTAGACTGTAAGTCAATAATGTTAAGTTGGGCCATAATGCCTAGGCATAATAGAGGCTCTCTTTGCATTGCAGCCCACTATTGTAAATACAAAATCTCAATGTACTGTTTGCAAAGACATAAAATAAATAAATAAATAAATTTAGTAACTTACTACCTATTCCATATACTTGCACATCTGCCACATTGCTCCCCTATCCAAACTATCATATGCCTTTTCTAAATCCATAAATGCAATGAAAACATCCCTACCTTTATCTAAATATTGTTCGCATATATGCTTCAATGTAAACACTTGATCTACACATCCCCTACCCACTCTGAAACCTTCTTGCTCATCCGCAATCCTACATTCTGTCTTACCTCTAATTCTTTCAATTATAACCCTACCGTACACTTTTCCTGGTATGCTCAGTAAACTTATTCCCCTATAATTTTTATAATATCTTTTGTCCCCCTTTCCCTTATATAAAGGAATTATACATGCTCTCTTATTATTATTATTATTATTATTATTATTATTATTATTATTATTATTATTACTATTATTATTATTATTATATATAAGTGAGTGTGACAAAGAAATCAGTTTATTTTCTCTGATGTAAATGGTTTAGAAAACCCACAAGTTGAAGAATGAGACACTTGTGTAACATTTGGGAATCTTTGATGAGGAAACATTTTACCAGCCAGTGGCTTTTTCAGTCTGAAACAGAGAAGAACAGTTGAAGATGAGGAGAAGTTTGAGGTAATCAGTCCCTCAGCCTGGAGTCGATGTGTTCAGTCCATCAATCTTGAGAAAAGTCACTGGCTGGTGAAACATTTCCTCAATAAAGATTCCCAGATGTTGCACAAGTGTCTCATTTTTCAATTTGCTTTCTTCAAAAAGACCGTCCCGTTCTGTTAGTTTCATTAATGTTAATTGTTGCAGAAGCGACAGTACAAGTGTCCACACTGTGACTATGCTTGCAACTTTAACTCGTCTTTCAACCGTCACTTACGACTTCATGATGGAGTGATGCCTTATAAATGCGGTCACTGCAACTTCCATGCCAGAGAGTCGTATCTTGTTCGTAAACATTGCTCCAAGTTTCACAAGGTCAGCAATAACTCTCTACTAACACTAATACTCTATATTTCTATACACCTACCATCCGACTTACGACCGAGTTCAGTTCCGAGAAACCGGTCGTAAGTCGAAATGGACGTAAGTCGAACTTTACTACTGAATATCAACATCACATTTTTGTAATGACTTTATTTTATTGTTTTATTTTGGTATTTCATGTTTTACTTTACTTTTTATGCTGTTAGTACTGTATTTTATACTGTAAGGTTTAGAAAAAACACTGTGTACAACACAAATAGTTGTTTATTTCCCAGAAATTTGGCAAAAAAAACACAGTCGTAAGTCGAGTGGTCGTAAGTCGAGCAGGTTGGATGGTTGGTGTATTTTTCTCCCATTTGTGTACTGTGATGTATGTAGGTATGTATGTATGTACACCCCGAGGCGGGGTGGCCCAAAAGGAAAAACGAAAGGTTCTCCTTTTACATTTAGTAATATATACAGGAGAAGGGGTTACTAGCCCCTTGCTCCTGGTATTTTAGTCACCTCTTACAACACGCATGGCTTATGGAGGAAGAATTCTGTTCCACTTCCCCATGGAGATAAGAGGAAATAAACAAGAACAAGAACTTGAAAGAAAATAGAAGAAAACCCATAGGGGTGTGTATATATATGCTAGTATATGTATGTGTAGTGCGACCTAAGTGTATGTACGTAGAAGTAGCAAGACGTACCTGAAATCTTGCATGTTTATGAGACAGAAAAAAGGACACCAGCAATCCCACCATCATGTAAAGCAATTACAGGCTTCTGTTTTACACTCACTTGGCAGGACGATAGTACCTCCCTGGGCAGTTGCTGTCTACCAACCTACTACCTACAAATATATAAAAATATACATAGGTAGTAGGTTGGTAGATAGCAACCACCCAGGGAGGTACTACCGTCCTGCTAAGTGAGTGTAAAATGAAAGCCTGTAATTGTTTTACATGATGGTAGGATTGCTGGTGTCCATTTTTCTGTCTCATGAACATGCAAGATTTCAGGTATGTCTTGCTTCTTCTACTTACACTTAGGTCACACTACACATACATGTACAAGCATATATATACATACATACCCCTCTGGGTTTTTTTCTATTTTCTTACTAGTTCTTGTTCTTGTTTATTTCCTCTTATCTCCATGGGGAAGTGGAACAGAATTCTTCCTCCGTAAGCTATGCGTGTTGTAAGAGGCGACTAAAATGCCAGGAGCAAGGGGCTAGTAACCCCTTCTCCTGTATATATTACTAAATGTGAAAGGAGAAACTTTTGTTTTTCCTTTTGGGCCACCCCGCCTCGGTGGGATACGGCCGGTGTGTTGAAAGAAAGAAGATGGCCGACTTGTTAAAAGAAAAATATATATATATACATGTGTATATATATAGTATATATATATATATATATAATATATATATTATATATATATATATATATATATATATATATATATATATATATATATATATATATATTATATATATATTTCTTTCTTTCTTTCAACACACCGGCCGTATTCCACCGAGGCGGGGTGGCCCAAAAGGAAAAACGAAAGTTTCTCCTTTTACATTTAGTAATATATACAGGAGAAGAGGTTACTAGCCCCTTGCTCCCGGCATTTTAGTTGCCTCTTACAACACCGCATGGCTTACGGAGGAAGAATTCTGTTCCACTTCCCCATGGAGATAAGAGGAAATAAACAAGAATAAGAACTAGAAAGAAAATAGAAGAAAACCCAGAGGGGTGTGTATATATGTGCTTGTACATGTATGTGTAGTGTGACCTAAGTGTAAGTAGAAGTAGCAAGACGTACCTGAAATCTTGCATGTTCATGAGACAGAAAAAAGGACACCAGCAATCCTACCATCATGTAAAACAATTACAGGCTTTCGTTTTACACTCACTTGGCAGGACGGTAGTACCTCCCTGGGCGGTTGCTGTCTACCAACCTACTACCTACAAATATATAAAAATATACATACACACCAGCCATCTTCCACCAAGGAAGGGTGAACTAAAAAGAAAAAGTTTTTCTTTTTACACTTAATAATTTATACAGAAGGACTAAAAATGCCAGGAGGTTCTTGCTCCTAGCATTTTAGTCACTTTTTTATGACATACACAGCTTACAGAGGAAATATACTTCTCCATTTCCCCATGGAGATGAAAGGAAATAAATAAGAACATGAGCTATTAAGAAAATAGAAGAAAACTCATATGTGTATACATATACATGTTCATGAATGTGTAGTGAGACCTAAATGTAAATAGAAGTAGCAAGATAAAGATTCTCCTCGCTTTATGATGTTTCGAGTTGTGATATTTCAACTTTATAATAGTCTTATAGCGATGCACGTTCTGTAGTCACCGGACTTTGAATTTTGATGTGTTCATGAACTGGAGGAAGCAAACAGTAAAGAAGCAGAGGAAGCACATGTTATACCCAACACACCAAGAATGTTCACAGTGAAAAAAATTGTCAGAGGTGTTTGCTTGTTTCCATAGTGATTTTCAGATGGTAGAAGACATGAAAATCACAGTGGCCAGTGGCCTGGTGGCAAAAGCTCTCACTTCACACGATGAAGTGTCCAGGTTCAATTCCCGGCAAGGGTTGAAACACTGAATGTGTTTCCTTACACCGGTTGTCTATCTTCACCTATCAGTGAAAAATGCATACCTGGGTGCTAGTGGACTGGTGTGGGTTGCATCCCGGGACAAAATTAACCTAATTTGCGAGAAATGCTCTGCATAACAAGTGGCTTTCTATATAGTAGTATGTCATTGGTGTCATCTAGGCCTGTATACCTTGTACATTCATGTGTAGTACTAAAAATATTATTATTATTTATTATAATTATGAAAGATTTCCAAAATTTGAAAGATTAATACAGGATGCTTTTGCTATGAAGAAATTTATAATGAAAAAGCCTGAGCCTGTTTCTGAACCATCAACAAGCGTCAACGACTCATTGACTCCCTTCATCATCTTCCAACTGTTAGTGTTAGTTCTGTGCTTCACAACATTCTTTAGGCCCACTGTGCTTTCAGTTGAGTACAATAATGGTGAGTACCTGTACAACATATCACTACATGTACTGTACCTCTATCATCCTTGGATAATCAATATACAGTGGTCCCTCGTTTTTCGTAATTAATCCATTCCTGGAGGAGCTACTATAAACGAAATTTACGATTTGCGAATCAATTTTCCCCATAAGAAATAATGTAAATGCAATTAATCCGTTCCTGACACGCAGAAGTATTAAAAAAAATTTTTTTTTACATGAAATATACATGAAGTACATAAACAATACAATGGGAAATGATGAATGAAACATTAACAGCATAACACTTACCTTTATTGGAGATTCTTCTTAGTGTATGGGAGACTGGAGGAGGAGAGAGATTGGATTGTTTACAGTTTGGAAGGGGAATCCCCTTCCAGCAACACCTCAGGTACCAATTGCTTCTCTGGGGTTGCTTCTCTTCTCTGTTTCTTAATGCCACTAGGACCACCTTGAGAGTCACTCTAGTCCTGTCTCGCAAAGTAACTGTGGAGAGAGCTCTGTTTCTGGCATCTCTTTAACACTTCCCTAAAATGGCCCAAGACTTTGTCACTGTACATATTTCTCACCTTCTTTACCACAGGCTTGGCACTAGGAGCTTTCTTTGGAGCCATGGTAGCTTATTTAGTACTTGCAAGCACTAAAATGAGTGGAATATTATGAAATATTTCGTAGGAGCACTTGAGGGGACCTTCACTCACTGGTAAACAATACCAGACTGGCTGGGTAGGGAGGCCGCCCCGGCTCACACCGTGTGTACTCGTCCCAGACAGACTACTATTCGCGAGTCAACCTATGAAAAGCGAGTCCATGTTTATACGAAAATACCCCTATGATTGGCGAAATTTACGATTGCCGAGAACTACGAAAAGTGAGGGACCACTGTAATGTAAAACTTTTTTTTTCTTTTTTTTTCAGTGTACAGGATAGGATAAACTTGAATTCATTTATTTACTTTTTAATACTGGTATTTAGTTACAGTAACTAATTGTTTATTTACTTATCCAGTGACAGTAGTTATTTATTTACTTATTTATTTATCATATATTCATATTTGACTTACAATATTTTCGACTTATGATGGGTTCATCGGAACAAAACTCCATTGTAAGTCAAGGACCACCATACTTGTTATCTTGCATGTTTATGAGATGAAAAAGACACCAGCAATCCTACCATTGTGTAAATCACTTACAGGTTTCTGTTTCACATGCATTTGCCAGGATGGTAGTACCTTCCTGGGTGGTTGCTGTCTGCCAACCTGCTACCTAAATGGAAATCCAATTAATCCATTCCAGACACCCAAAAGTATTAAACAAAATAATTTTTTTTACATGAAATGTACATTTCCCTACACAGAAAACAATGAGACATGCAGAATAAAACATTACTGAAATGACACTTACCTTTATTGAAGACTTATTGATGAGTGATGAGACAGGAGGAGGGAAGAGGATGGGGGTGTACTATTGTTTGGAAGGGGAATCCCCTTCCATAAAGATTTCAGGTACCAAGTCCTTTTCTGGGGTTACTTTGCTTCTTTGGTTTTTAATGCCACTAGGACCAGCTTGAGAGTCACTGGACCCCTGTCACATAAAATATCTGTCCGTAGAGCTCTGTTTCTGGTGTCTCTTTAAGATTTCCCTAAAATGGTACACAACATTGTCATTGTACATGTTGCCAAAACAGCCTGCAACAGCTGTGTCAGGGTGATGTTCATCCATAAATGTTTACACCTTCGTCCACATTGTACAAATGTCCTTAACCTTTGAAGAAGGCAGCTTCCTCCATCTCTCTTCCTCCTCCTCTGAAGCAATTTCCTTAGCTGTGGTCTGTTAGTGTTGCAGATGAAGGTCTTGCAGCTCCTTAGTTGTTAGTTCTTCATTGTGGTCCTCCGCCAACTCTTCCACATCCTCCAAACTCACATCCA